AAATTGGGGACCAATCGACTTTGATTGATGGTCTCTAGACTTCCAAGTCCATCACCCTTCTTATCACAAAAAAACCTCTTAATTAAAGTACGTCAGCGACGCCCAAAAATCTTGGCCACTTATTCAATTCTCGGTTAATGGTCTATCCGCAACCTTGGCGTTCATTAACTCGCCAGAGCCAAAGCCTCAAGTTCAATCTCAAAAAGCCCAATGTTGGTATATACACGAACGGCATATGAACTAATCAAAATGTCACACTTTCCATACAGAAAGCGGGCAAAAAAAAATCTGCTGACAGCTGACAAAACCAAAGCAAACCACGACCGAAAGCCAGTGTGTGCCTTGGGGGCGGGCGATGGGCGTTACAATCAGCCATGAAATACTCTCGAGCAATTGCTGGCTAGCCGGGGAGGTAGACTGGGGGAGGCAGTTCACCATGCTCAGATTACAACAGAGACACCAGCAGTAGAGGAGAAGGGAGATGGGCAGGAAAACACTGAGCGACGTTGACGACTTGCGCGACAATTGCCTCAACTTTGGCGTTAATGAACATGAGCACACTTTACCAAAGCGAGACGAGAGTTTTCATGGCCCAGGCCCCACTCTCCTCCCAGAGCCAGACCCATCCAAGCCAACCAAGCCGTAATGAATTGATGTGGCTACTGCCATGACGATGATTATGATGAGATCGAGATGGTGATGGAGAGGAAAGCAGCACTCGTCCATAAATTGTGAAAGAAGCGAACAGCACAAAAAGCATTTTAACATTTAATAATATAAAAGTAATTGAAGCAATTATTAGAGGAGAGCGACACACAATTAAGCATAACATGGTTTCTACAAGGCGGGACCAGACAGAGGGAAAATACTTGTATTAAGAAAATAAAAATCATATTAGTAGATGGGCCATTTAATACCCGTAAGTCATTTAATACCTCATGACTAACCATCTCAACTCTTACACTTGCCTCTGTGGTCGTCTCGACTTACCAGCCTATAAAGCTATAAACCTATTGCTACCATATCGTTCTTTCAATTACAACTCTGTTTGAAAACCAAAAACCAGAGAAATAAACAAAAAACAAACTCTGGAAAAAACTAAACCACAACAGAGAAACAATTGCCATTTGATTGACTGACGGCTGTTTGTCAGTTTTTTGACAATTAGGCGTCAAAGAGAAATTGCTTTCGATTCCATGGGAGACCCCCCTCGACGGGGACGAAGACCCAGACATTGCCTTGAAAATTGATTGGGAAATTGTGGGACGAGCCACGGTCCTATTTTTAACCCAAAAAATCGTTTTTGTCTACTGTTTTTTGTTGTTTTTGGAACGTTTAAGCGCGGGGCGGTGGAAAGTCATGAGAATGGTTGCCGAAATTGGGTCACAGTTCTCCCACTTGACATGTGAAAACGAAAGAGCCACCAGCCGGCCGACAAAGCGATGGAAGAATGCTTTGAATTTAAATATAAAACTAATTAGAGACTTGCGCAAAAGCTATCCAATAAAATTATCAAGTGGACGGAGTAGGAGATCTTCCATCAAGAATCATGATTACCATCATAGGTCTGATGATGTTTGGGAATGAGGTATAGTATATAGATTTCCATAGCAATGAACCAGTTTTCTTCTATATTTTTATTGGCCGACCAATAAACACATCAATTGGCCAGGTTTATTGCTAATTTTCACAGTTTGTCTCTCAGTTTTGGTTTATTATTTTTTCGAAAATAAGACACATAGTTGTCGGATGACAAACAACAACCGATGGGCCGGCATCTGGCTTTAATGCCAAAATTAGAGGTTCACTGAACTGTCGCAGAGAGGCACTATAATTAGCGGCGGAAACTAGTTTGGATCTTACATCAAAGAGCTCCAAGACACATCAAGTTGGGCTTCAAAGGCATCGATTACGTGCCAAGATTGCAGAGCTCTCCAAAGTGGTTGGGAGGTGGGTGGTGGGCTTGTCGAGCTGGAAAATGCACCTGAGCCAAGTTCTTTTGCGAAAACTATTAAAGAGTGTACTTTATGGCGCCCTTCAGGCCCAAGTGTTCAAGGCATTCAGGGACAGGAAAATAAAAGCGCTCTTAGGGGATTTTATTTCGGGGCTCACTGCAATCCATTGTCCCACATCACTTTTCTTTTAGTTCGGTTCGGGCCATTAAAATGTGAGCTTTTACGGCCAAATTTTATTCAAATGTGGACCGTTTGGAGCCTGCTAGGCTAGCCAGCAGAACAAGCGAATTTCTTTGTTTACTTTTCGTGCGAGATGAGAATCATTAAAAACTTGACCCAGTTTGGGGCGAGTCAAGCCCGTGCCAATATCTTGAACTCAGCTGCGGCTATAGCGATTGCTGTTTCTGTTGCATAACCAGTACCTGGCATGTGGCTAGCGAGCGATGACGATAACGATTCCGATTCCGATGACCAACCTCAAAGTCTGGCTTAAATCTTGGTTGTATTGCAATTTGAAAAGGCAAAGCTGTAGTTTATGCTAGCCAAGGCTGTAACAAATCCATTCACTCGCTTAGGCCAGCATAGTCTTTGCACAGTTCCAGTTGCAGTTTTGGTTTCAGTATTTCGTTCATCTCGGCCACAATGAGAAATTGCCAATCGTCATGGCAACTAAGAGCCACAAAACCAAGAGCCGCGAAGCGCTAAGCAATTAGACATGCAATTCTCGAAAGTACAAGTAATGTCAAAGTTGTAATTAAAACACGTCCGCAGCTTGCTTGAGTTTTCATATTTTTTTTTGAACAAATCACTCTTATTCATCCTAAGAGGAGTTATACAACGCTTTAAAGTGACACATTATGCATTCAAACTATTCATACCGTTTAGGGCACACTCAGTCCATATATCATCTTAAGCCACCGCCGAGTGCAGCATCATCAAAAGGCCAGCCACCAGCCACCGACAGAGTAAAGCCACAAAAGAAATATGGGAAGTCTCGTAAATAAGAAATGTCACACGAAAATTTCCATATGAAAGGCTTTCTTTGGGAGCGAAGGTCCCCGGAAAGTGGCAGTCTGTCTGCCTGCGTATGAATTGAGAAAAGCCACAAAAGATTCCGACCAGATATCCATTCAGAGTCGAAAAGTCAAGGTCTGTCAAGACTTTTCTAATGGAGCATTTAAAATTTAAATTATAGACGCAAGCTAGAGGGGTTTTCCATCAAAAGAGATGGTCTATATTGGTAGTACATGTGGTTTGTGGCCTAACATTTCATTAATTTCCAAAGAAAATTTTAAGAAAGCTGGAAAATATATCCAAAACTTGGAGTTCATTAGGAGGACAGCACTCGGAGGGAAAACCTCTTCCATGGCTTAAAATCAACTAAAGTTTTACTAATTGTTGTGGAGAGCCTCTGAGAGCCTCCCTTGCCAGCCGGGGCTTAAAAAAAATAAGAAAATAAACTCCACTGATTTGAGCCGACTCTAAGTTGGAGTCGAAAACTCGCTAAACTGGCTCTGGAAGCTTTTTTTGCTTCTTTCACATGGCTGCACTCGTACTGGCACTGGCACTCTTCGATTGCAGGTTTTTGAAGATCATGGTCCAGCGGCTAACAACTTGTTGTTGCAACCTCCTCAGATGCTGTTGTTGTTTTTGTTGTTGTCGCCAAACGCATGCCACACGGTGCACTTAAGTGGCTAAAGATTGTTAAGGTTAATGCACTTGAGTTCGTTGTCGCTTCTTTGCTGACCAAACTTGGTTGTCGGTTGTTTACTATTTTTTCCATCCAGTGTTTGCTGGCTGGCTTTTTTTTTTTATTTTTTTGTAACTACTACTATAAACACCTATCGTGATCTTGTCGCCATTTACATTTTCATGCACCAATAAATGCGTAAGTAATAATAACAACCCGTTAGTCTCTGCACATAAATTGCCAGCAATTTGCTTTTCGAAGCTGCGAAAGCAGTTTTCTCTCCTTGTATCTATGATTTTTCGCAGATTTTGATTATGACAAATATTACGCATACGCAGTGTTGCACGCTGCGACGTGGATGGTACACTGTACAGTGTGCAATTGGGCACTTTCACTCGTCCGTCGGCAATGGATGGTTTACTATACAGATTATTTAACCGACTAATGTGATACAAAGGGGGTAGGATAGTAGGGGTTTATTGACTTTGACTCATAACTCTAGTCAGTGCGTGGTAGTCCATCAATAACCATACCAAATGGCAGTAAAAGAGTGTTGTCCAACTATCCAATGTGTTGTTAACCCTTAAACGGTGTCTAGGGTTGAATTTGTCCTTCTCTACTAAGAAAACAAGCCTCCTCTATGTTCTCTCTAATTTTTGTTGTTAGTTGTTTTGAACTCGAAAGTCTTTGCTGTTTAAGTTTTGCTACAGAAAGTGTTGAATATAAAACAAATTGTATTATTTTATATATTTTGTTCAGTAATAGGCTGCTGCAAAGTTTTAATTAAAATCTAAATCTAAAGCCAGGCTTTGTTGCTCCACTTTTATTCATAATTTTATGCCACAAATAAACTAGCAACCAAAATTGTAAAAAAAAAAGTAATTTTATTTGGACACCATAAAGGTTATATATATTTATTTAAAAGTATGCTTGTCAATTCACTTTACGCTTTAAAACACTGAATGTTAAAGGACTAAAAATGAAACGATATTTCAATGACTAGAACTACCTTATAGTTATTATATCTTGATTAATAACCAGACTATCAAACTGACTTATCTGTCATATCTTTAAAATATCTTAATATATGAATATCTTTAATTCAATATCTCAACATCTTTAATTATCTACCCTGTCTGACTTATCTTTAAAATAAAACTATAACCAACATATGCCCCTGAATTCGATTAAACTATCCATGTGTCTTGTCGCCGTTTAAGAAAACATTTTATATCATCAACAGTTTCGCATTAATTTGATTAGCATGATTTTGTATTTTTGCATCATTTTGTTTTGTTTATTCCAGCAAATCGCATAAAATGTGAATACATATGCATATCAATATATGTTGGATGTTTTTTTTGGCCAAATGGGTCAGTGCTGTCGGACTGGGCTGTGATTTGGGTCAAATGTGCCCACAGAATACTAAACAAACCGAAAAAGAACCCACAAAAAAATGATGATTATAATTATTATTGCCATTCGGCGGGTAATAAAAACCAAAACACCAGCCAGAGATGGTAGAGACCCGGCCCGGGAGGAAGTTGTTAATTAATACCCAAGACAAGAGAGCTGGAAAAACTTCTGGGGAGATCCGTTGGCTCTGTTGGTTCGAGTCTGGTTTTTTAATTAAAAACTGGAAACAGTTGGTTCTACGGTGGGGTTTATGAGTGGCCACAATTCTTTTTTTTATGCACGAGTAATTTGGTTACATTCGAGCTGCTCTTTTGAGGGTCACTAGGGAGTATTTCTTTGAAGAATAAACACAGAGGGTCTTCTTAAGGAAAATATTAAACTTGCCAGACATTCCATCAAGGCTTACTTGCAGTTTTTAAATGCTTACCTGAAATGATAAGAAAATTGGGAAAATTTAGTATCTTTGTTAAATTATTCTTAGCTTTATACTATTTTCTATTATTATCCTCATACTTTGATGAAATTCCTACTCATCTGCTTGCAAAACCAGAGCGTATTGTCGGTATTTTAAGGGCAGCCAGGGTCGGTAGGCCTATTTTTAAGAACCTGTACGTATTTGTGCCTAAACCTATTCTTTTTTTTTTTTATTTTTGGCATGCAATAAATTTGTGTTTTCTGGTCACTTGCAAAGCAACGCACTGACGCCCTGACAGCTGTCAGTGTCTGTAGCGCGCTGTCGAAATACATATATATATCCAAGAGATACAACTAAAGTTAAGAGATTCGCAATCGAGTGAATTGATTTCCCTGAAGTATATCCGCTGAAAATCAAAGCCAACTGTTTCCATTTCACTTTCCAGTTGATTGCGACAAATGTTTTCACTTTTCTTTTCCAAACAAGCCAGCTAGCAGCCATCATCCAACGCATTTAACAACCACGCCCATTTCCTTAACAATGCCACTGCCACTGATTGATTGATGCACTGGTGCGAGCTAATCAATTAAATATTAACTGCCATTGTCAATCAGTCTGGCTTACATCATCAACGGATCTGGCATTTGCAGGCGGAGTTGCATTAATTACCAAGACGAGCCATGAGCCATGAGTGGCAGTTGCAGTTGCATCAGTGAGCCAGAGTCAACGAACGCTGCCTCCTCAACCCAATTTCCTATCAATCCAGCCTCCAGTCATAATAACAAAAGCAGCTCTTTAATGTTCATTGGACAAGATCAAGTCGGGAAAACAAATTCAAAAAAAAAAAAGTGGAAGCTTTTGATTTAACAACTGCCTGCAGACACAAGCATGGCCAATCAATTTTTGTGATTTTTTCGATTTTGTTGCTGCTGCCGCTGACCATTGACCAGCACCTCGGCCTCTGCCTAATCATAGTGGAGTAGATCCGAAGCCGCCACTCTAGCTCCAAGACCAGGTCCAAGTCGAACAAGGAGCTCGCTTCATTTCCCCAACAGCCAACAGCCATTTTTTGTGACCGTGTTGCAGCCATGTCGCCTCGGCTATTGAAAATCATTGAATTGCCATCGTTTCACCCTCCCACTCTCACTCCCCTGCCATAAAAAACCATCTATCTATCTATCTATCCATCTTTCTGAGCCAGCTATCTGGGAGTGTGTATCTGTGCGGCTGCTTTCGGTTCGATTCACTGGCTCTGACCTACGATAAGTCTCGCTCTGCGCTTGATTATACTCGTAAGACATTCGTATCTCCAGCTCCAGCTCTAGCCCCAGCCAAGGCATGCATAATTGCCTTCTCTGGTATTTTGGCCAGATGCAAAGGTCTCTGTTTTCTGCCCATAAAGCCTTTCAGTTTGTGGGTCAACGGGGTTGAGATATGCTTGACTTGGCCGGGCATTTTGAATTTCTAATTGCAATTGGATGCAAATATAGGCGGGTTAGCGGAACACTTTTTAGATCAATGATCTGTTCTTGCTTCTCTGAAGTTTAAATTAAAATAAATTGGCAAGTCTAACTGGATTTTTTTTTTATAAAAAAAGAAACAAATCTAAATCTTGATCTAAATGCATTTAAGAATCTTTAAAAGAATGTTTTTCTCAGCTTAAAGATCTGCTTTATGCTAAAAAAAACCTCTAGTTTATCGCTCTAGGGATTTTATAAAATAGTGTGACCATCTAAAATCAATCCCTAGCCCTGTTAAGCACCACCTATTGGCCAAGAATTTCCCAATATTTCTGATATATTTCCCAATTCTTACAAGTGGAACAACATAAGATACACAAATCACAGGCGGGACTGGAAATTAGTAAACAATGAGGTGAGCACTGGAGGACGTGTGGTTAACCTGATGTCTAGATAAATAAATACGAATCAGCAGGGAGGAGGTGAGTCGTGCCACGGCCCCAAATTTGATCCCCACTGATAAACAGTGCCAGACGCTGCCATCGACGACCGACCCAGTGACCAAGTTAGGCCGCCGATCTGGCGAGGATGGAGATCTGAAAACGAGGCGGAGAAAAGAATTCACATTCCCCGCAGTGTTCAAGAATTTATGAGAATTTTCGTTTGTGCCCGAACACGTAACCCGTAACTCGGTCTATAATGAACGATCATCGTTCATAACACGATCGCTCCACTAGACCGGCAGGCGATTAATGGGAACAGTTTCCAGGGTGCTGTGTGGTGTGGTGCTGAGTAGCGCCCCCTGGCGTCCGAGTTGTCACTGCGTTGAAAATGAAAAGCGCCTGCGCGACCGAGTTTCCACAACTGAGGCTGCCTGCTTTTCTTTTTTTTTTTTTTCGATCAATCAGTGAAATCGATATCATTGATGTGATGTGTGCACGTTTTATAATTTTCGCAGTGAAATTTTCTGGTTGGAAGACTCATCTCGAACTGCTGATGATATTGCTTTTAGTTGCCAGTCCCGCTTTACGTTTATTTCTGTTGGCTAATTAGCGCTTCTCGCCCGGCCCGTCTGTTTGAACTGCTTTCCAATTGAATTTTATTTTTTTTTTACTTTTTCATCAAACGAAACAATTTTCACGCGCCAATTCCTGGCATTGTTTTGTATTTAGCTTGATGCTGCTCTAATCGTCGTGTAAGTAAAAAGTTTTGTATTTTTAGAAACCGAATGCGAACAAAAGTGTTTTTTAAAAGGAGGATATTTCCCATTGCCCCAACAGGAAGCAGCGTTGCATACTTTACTGTCTATAAAGAAAGAATTTCCCAATTGCAGCAAGAGCTTTCCTCCCATCTGGTGTCAGAACTGGGTCTTTTTCAAGTACTTCATCTATCGGCAGTGGTTGAGTTGTAAATTTTCAACAAATTTGTCAAAAATGCTATTAAATGGCCTGAAGAGAACTCTCCACGGCATTTGGGTCAAAAAAAGAAAGCCATAAGGGGCCACACACATAAACATAAAATATAAACAAACCGCCGCCAATTTATGACACTCGAAGAATCTCTTTTTTCGACTGCAGAGAACCCCCTGAAACTAATTGCATTTCCTGTTTTATTTTTTTCAGAGGTGGTGGTTGGGGCACTTCCACAAAAACGCATAAATTAACGACCAGCTCGACTTCCGATAGACAATAGAACAGAATAACATGAAATAAAATGGAACAAATGAACCATACGAGAAATAACAATGAAATGGGGGAGCACAACTCGACTGCCATTCAACATAGTGGAGTGGAGAACCAGAGTGGAGTTCTATTTGGAAATTTCAGTTTTCAGGCCGGGGGAGTTTTTCCAGCGTGACGAACTGCACTACTAGATTCCCCTCTGACCACCAGTGGCTCAGTTAGGGGACTCGAATTCCTTGAATAATTATCAACCGCTAGTTATATTCAATTAAGTACTCAAAAATGCCTATTTTAAAGCAAGAATATTTTTACTTTAAATCGTAAACTGGAGCCCTGTCTGCCACATGCGGCACAGAACTCCATCGACTCTGAATGCTGCGCGGAATGTTAATTAGTTTTGGCTGCTGTGGCTTGTTTATGCTCTGGGTTGTAGTTTATGTTGCTTAATTTTAATGTGCGGCATAATTAAATTCCTGGACAGCACTACTCCTTCGCGGCCATAAAACCTAGACCAATAATGCCTTTTTTTACGGCCCTCCACTTGGCGATATGTAGAGCTGATTCCTCGACAAAATATCCCTAAAAGTTCCCCAAATAAGAGCTTGTTGACAGTCTTACTTTTTATTACGCTGATTTGCAGTTTCCTGTTTGATATGCAAACAATGCCTATAATATTTATTGGAAGAGATGACTCTCTTTTATTGTTTATTTTCATATTTTGAGCCATGAGCCTTGACCACTTGTTGCAACCGCAGCGTCATGTTGGCAGGTATTAGCTAACAATTGCCAGTCTCTTTGATGCACACATAACCCCCAGCATGGTGGTGTGGTGCATTTATTTATATGCCACCTTCTGGCTACAGCTATAGCTATGGCTCTTATCTAACCCGAGCGACGAAACCCGACGTGCCGAAAGTTACTCTCAGCTGTTCTATATAGGATTACGCGTGGCACATTCTCGGCATCAGCCAAGCGATTTCGTAATCTTTTCACAAAAGTGGGTTGGCTTGGTCTGGTGGCCTGGCAGATAGTAGTGGGACGGTGTCTGCTGTCGTTTCTTTAGTGTGTCAGTCTAAATATATAGTTGATTGTTTTGTTGCATTTCGGTCGAGCATTGCAGTCTCAAGAGATCTTTTGGCAATTGTTCGAATTAGCCAGAAAACTTCTTCTATATGCCCTGATCACTGGCTCGTCCCAAAACTTTATTGTCGTCATCTCAGCCCATCTTACACACCATTTCCATATGATATCTTTAGCTTAATAGTTGCTACGTGTAGTTTAAGAAAAATGTTTGTTGTCTTGGGATAATTGCTGGCTATTTGCCTGCCTGACTGCCTGCTTGCCTGCTCGGTCGTTGTATAATGTCAATTACTTGTGATTTACGACAGTTTAATGATAGACGGCGATACTCATAGGTTGGCTCAGCTCAGCTCCTCGCATGGCGTGCACATGCGTCGAGGGTCGGAGGCGGCAGGATGCGGGGCATGCCCCAATCGCATTCACATAATAGTTGCTACATGATGCGAGCTTAGCATGTGATGGATGTGATATTTCAGTGCCTCAATGCTGTGTTCTGCTGCCCAGTGTTGCATGTAATTGGCTCATAAAACTCTACTCTAGCAACAAAGAGTACAGAAAATAGCCTTTGATGGCTGGAACCTCAACTCTGCCTCACAAAAGGGCAAATCGATTGCAAGTCCAGGCCACTGACACAGTGTCAACAACTTTTCATTAACTTTTCCCCATTTTCCCCCATCTCTCTGTGACGTAAGACGCTTGATTATTCATGAGGCAAGTCCAAAACTTCAGGTGTTGGTGGCTCTGCCACTCTCGCACTAAATAACAATTAGCCATATAAGGGATATACATATATTTTTTTCTCTGTGGAAGCTTGGCCAAGTCACCCGTTTGGATAACGAGTTTCTGGAGAGAGGAGCCGCCTAATTTCACTCTGAAATGAATAGACTTAGTGCTAGCTTATAGTTTAAACATAGTTTAATTAACTAACATTGTTTGGATCATAAGAATTCTAAGAGAGTTCCAATCTGAATATAATTTCGAGAACTAAACCCCATAAACCAATTTGAAGTTATTTCTTTTTTCCCCAAAAAGGCAACCTCATGAGTAAGACAACAGGTTCTACTTTAATTTCCAACATGTTTTGCTTTTTTCGGATCTATGTGTTTTTTTGTTCTTGACTGAGAAGACCGCCTAGCTACCGAAAGGGAAACGAACTCATTGAAATTCTTGATAGGTTGGGCGCGCGAATTGTGTAGAATAACAAAAGAAACACATCAGATGCGGAGGAATGGGCCGGGGATGGACGTGGAAAGACGTCAGTTAGTCCCAGCTATCATCTGTTTGGGAAGCTTTTCCGAGGGAGGACCCCATGTGGAGATTACACCCACTTTTCCCGCCCCTCTGATGCTTTCCCTTGTTGCCATTTAAGACGGCGCCAAGACCAAATAGGCCTATGGCTTAATAAGTCAAGTTCCAACTGGCTTGACGGCAGGCGACTAATAATCGCAAGAGTGTTGAGCTCACAGATCAGAAAAGTTTTAATTAAAAGGAAGAACTTACTAGAAAGCAATATATGCCTGATTTTCTATTAAATTCCCTTTTTAAAGAACCCTAGTTGTACCCAGGTTAAAGGCTAGGGACCTAGAACAAAGCCAGCATCCCTCGGCTGGCAGACAATAACGTTGACACATATCGGAGGGTAGCCATTGTTTATCGCATACAGGAAGCCGGGCAACTCTGGCCGGGGTTATTACACTCCCTACTATGCTACTATGGTGCTATGGAAAGCACTGATTTGTAATTGTTTTCGATTCTTTTATTATTTGCTTTCAAAGTTACTGTCTGATTAGAGAGTCGCGTCGCGTTGCCACTCAGAAGTGGGTCAGCGGCGAGTTGTTGACTCAAGAGGCGGCACTATAAAGTGCCACAGAGGGGCCCAAGCTGATAACTTCCATTCACAGTTGCAGTATGCATTTGATTTTACTCCAAAAGCTGGACATGCCTTTGTTTCCATATCAATCACTGGGCTCTCGGTGAGTTAGTGGGTTAGTGGGGCAGGCAGGATCACCAATGACCAATGACTCCCCGCAACAGAATTCAATTAATGATTTGAGGTTCCCCCTTAAGGCAACATGACACTCTGCCAAAGTTCAACTCACCTTGTTCGCAACACAAATGCCTGTTCTTGCGCAACTTCCGAAGAGGTCTGCAAGAAACAAGAGGGCGGAGAACGGTGGGCGGTTAGATAAATGCCAGACAGAATTACCAATCAAATAATAATAATTATTAATTACAGCCATCGAGACAAGTTGTTCGGGCAAGGCTATTAAAATTAATCAAAGCAGTTACGCTACAACGCAGTGCCATGTAGGAGACAACAACTAATCGTGGTACTTATCCAGCTCGAACCACATAAACAAGCCACTACATCCACCCACCACCGCCGATCGGCCAAACCTGTCAACTGTAACGCAAGACAATCAACAAAAAATGCATAAATTAATAAAGAGGCAATGTAATGCCTTAAACGAAGCCAAACAAACTGCAAGTTGTCATGAAAGTCGGGGCTGGCCAGAGGGCCCAGGGTGTGCACATGTGCGTAGCTACCAGTTACCACCAGGGAAGGGGTCTCCCTATCAGTGACTTTTGTCTAATTTCATGCTCGATGGCACAGTATCTTTTGTAATTGATAGAGTCTGGGATTGGCTCACTATTCGATTAGATACTGCGACTAAGAGCAACAGTTATCCCACAAAATTCCCATCAAGGCAGTAAGTTTATGAACTCGATAACATTATCGCTTCAGAGCTCCGCTCCTTTGAACTAAGCTTGGTGTAGTTGCCACAACAAATTGCCAATCAACATTCCCCCATGGTCGTTGTAGTTGCCGACGACGATGTCCTCGACGAGGTTCTGTCGTTTTCGTTCAACGAACCCACCCACCAGCCACATCCATCATACCAGGCCAGCCTCTCCCACAGAACAGCTGATGACACGCACTTTGCGTGTTTATTTAATAAATAAAAATTTGCATAAATTTGCAAACGTAAGCTGAGGCACGATGGCGGATAGATGTTGACATTTCTCCCTCGCTTTCAAAGCGTTGAATTGCAAACAAATTTATTCTAGAAGAGGATTCATTGTGCTGGAAAATCAAAGTGCCAGTTCAGAACATCCATTATGACTCAATCCGAGCACTTATAGTATTAGTTTATCGCAGCTAAGTCGAGTAGGTTCTTAAGTCGTGCCTGGTGTTACCTTGAACCCGGCTTAGGCTCCTCCTCGGATGGCCACTCGTCATGTAAGCAATCAATCTCCAACTCTGGCGAACTAATAACCCGCCATCAGATAAAGTGTAACTAATACGCGATCTCGGCTCTGGCCGGACCAGAGTGCCTTTTGATTAATGGACGCCGCTACTGTTTCCCCAACGGGGGTCGAGAAGTCTTACAAAAGCATAGAAATTTATGCGCCTTTTGATTCGCGACGCACGACGATCGCCCAGTCAGAGCGAGAGCTCAGTTTTCAAAACAAAGCCAATACCCAAGACCCAATACCCAAGACCCGGAGGCGCAAACTACAAAATTATAGAAGTCGGAGAGATCGGGTTCTGGAGCTAATCGACTCTAAGTGATTGGTCAGAGCTGGGCATATCCATTTATCTTACCCTCGATAGCTCGAAGAGTACAAACCTCAATTAGCGACAATCATTTTTCATTTGTCAGCCATCAGATACGAATCTGTATCTGGTAGTTTCATTATCTCGAGTGCAACTGGTTATTCGGTGATTATCTCTCTCTCCGACTCAATGTCAAGTCGAACTTGCCCAATTCCCAGTGCAATTTTGTATCTTAAAGATACGTTCCGGCGAGCTTTAATAGTTTGGTTGTGAAATACAACGGGTTTTGGTTTGGCTGTGGAATAATTATGCCAAATATTCAAATAAATTATCAACCAGAACAATTGACGGGTGTGGGCTTTTGGGGCGGCATGTGGCAAGCGAGCAGCTGCACAGTAGCAGCGATTTCGAGCTTTTGTTGTCCACATTGTTGCACAAAAGTTTTACATGATAATAAATTTAAGAGTATGGGGGGGTGGGTGGTGGGCGGTATCTGTGTCATATCATACCCTTTGTGGGGTAGAATTGGGCAAGATTGGGGGCCATTGTTAGAACCTGCTCACTCAGTGGGGCGTGGGCTTCTCAGAAGCCAGAAGAGAATAGCATTCTAATGGCCACAAATTGGATGGTATTAGGTGGAATCTAGAGTACTTTAATAATAGGATCTGATCGTCCTTCATGCATAACTGAGATACAAAACCATTTCCGCACACTATCGCCTCCGAACCACAGGCATTGGCGTGAATAATTATTTATATTCATTATGGCCATTAGCTTAAAGCAGTGTCTGGTGAATGGAATAGTTTGCTCTTGTCTTGTCTTACCCTCCATTTCCCCCATTTAAGGCCTGGAATTTCCAGCCACAACGCGCCAAGAAATGCAAATGCCTTGGGATTAATATGCAGCGTATGCCTCATACATGAGAGGTGCTTTGGCGATAAATCTTAATCCGTGAATTGGCGGAAGTTTCACTTGACTCCAAGTTTTCCAGCCAAGGGGCGCGGTTCACCGTCAGCTGTTCGAGAACTCTGGGAACTCTCTGAAAGTAGATACCACCCCTAGGGAACTTGGCTTTGTAGTCTGCCGACCAGCTGACATATCAAATATTTAATTATCGCGTGTTTTGACTCAACATTTATTCTTCTGCGGTTTGTTTATATTATACTAGCCTTGCTCGCGAACTTTACTTTACATTAAAAATCGCAAATCTCAGCCATAAAAGATTCAGGCAATCTTAGATAAGCTCGAATCGACGATAAATTTTAGTGTTTCGACGATTCGCGGATGACTAGCATGACAAGTCTGGCTCGATTTGATATTGTTGCAATCTACATACGCTGTTTTACGATGTTTACATTTCACTCGGATTGTTGGCTGCGATTTATTTCACTTCCTAGCCCCACAAGGCTGGGGCTGACTTTCACGCATCACGAAAACGACGTCCGTCTCGGGTTGCACATCGCAGTGGCATTGCCTCCGTTTACAGTTCTCTAGTAAGTACTGTTTTGTAATTCGAAATCGAATTCATTTTGCAATTTGTGTGAAAACGATCGAGCCACAAGGTTGTTTCTTTATTTTCAACCTTACGGAATAATACCTTATCGGAGAAGGCATTTAATATTTTATTTATTTTCCTAACAACATGATTCCTTTTCAGGAAATTTTTAAGAATTATTTTCTATAAACAGGCTTCCAACGACAACAATTATCAGAACACTGGCTGAACTGTCTGACCAGCTGACTCCCCAGTTTACATTGAAATATGCGCGAAATGATATCGGGAAATGGTCACAAAGCCATAAACAAAGCAGCGCTTGAAATAATAATATTATCGTTTTGCAAAAAATACGACGCAGTCATACAAATGCGTCTTAAACTCTTTATTGAAAGGAATTTATAAATTAATGAATAATCTAATAAAGTTCAACCAACTAGCTTACCTAAAACCACAACTAGTACACTCTCCTCAGAGTTTCTCAATCAAGCTCAATCTTACAAAGCTTTAGGATCTCTGCAAAGATAGGATTTGTAAAAATATATATATTTAGAAACTATAAATAAATCAAAGATATTTATTCCTCCTCTTATCTAACAAAATGGTTATCTAATTATGTCGATTCGATGGTGACCCCGTTCCCACCACAAATTCCACACTTTATTTACGTAATTTAGTGTCCCACATAAAGTCCAAAAAATAAACAATAGAAACATGCCGCATATCGAAATAAGCATACAAAGTAACTATTTCTTATCGGTAGGCATGTCTGCAGCGTAAAATAGTTAATTGATAAGCTGGATGGAATCAAATCTGTGGAAAACCTGCTTGCACAATCACTAATGGGGGCGTTTGTGAGTCAGTACTCCAGATAGCATATGGGAATCCAAATTCTTATCATTCTGGGGCTGGTAGGATTACCATTTCTATTAGACCTATGTACATATAGACACAAAAATGCCGGTACAAGGCATTCTAACTTTTAAGGTTTTAGGTATTTTATGGAAAAATAACTTTCCAGGCTCACAAATCTCAAAAACTCCTTGCTTCTGAAGTTTATTTTCTTAAAAGTGAATCACTTCTGAGATTTATGTTTTGTTTTGGTTTTTTTTTTTAAAAGATTTGCATGCAAAGGCTATTTTTCATTTTGCATTGACCGAGCTTCCTGGGTGTCCTCATTGTATGTTTATTTTGAAACCGACAGAACTGACCAAGCCCCTTATAAGACCCAGCTTCTCATCCATTTATTTATGAGAGGTTTTGAATTATACGGCCTTTGAATAATTATTTATTTTATTTAAAAAAAATCCATACAACTAAGGCAAGTAAATATTTTCTATTTCAGCTCTTTACCAACCAATTGTTATTAAAAAAAAAATATATATAGACATGTGGGCATACAAGCATCGAAAATTGGCAAGTGAAAGCGCGCTGAAGAAAAATGGGACGGAAAAACACAAATCAAATAATATTGCTCAGCTGGCCGGGTATCTCAGCAGCTGTTTGGTTTTATTTTGATTTCGAATCTATTTTATGGACCCCCGAATGGATTTCTGACGGCCCGAGTATGCGAATAAAGTGAGCCACGCAATAAATTCGATTTGAGAGCCACTTCGCGTATGCCGGTCATAAAAATAATAATATATCATTGTAGGAGACCATCAATCGAAGACGTAATCAACACTCTTTTGGGTTATATTATTATTTGGCTGGCCAACACCTTCCCACCCAGTGGCATTATGAAACAGTTCTCAATCCAATTGACACTCGGGACAATGCCGAATCGGAGCCAGTGCCAGAGGGCCAGTGCCAGAGCTCGCCTAGACGGAAAATCCAATTAGGAAAATCACCCAAAGGCCCGGCCCAGGGCGTGAAACTGAAAAGTGCGAAGAAGAGGCACTTATCTCCGGCCAGCAGACACCGAAACAAATATTAGGCAAGTGGCTTTGCATATTGAAATGTCCTGCGAATAAAAAATACGCTGCTGGAGCGCAGCTGTTAATTTAACAACCGACAGGCGGCCAGGCAGAAGTATGATTAACCACAATCCAGGCAAGCGAAAGATACAAAACGGGTGTTGCAACCCGCAATCCGTGTGTGCAACTGTCAGATACAAGCCAGCCCAGAGACCCAAAGCCAAGCCCGAGCACAGCCGTTGCATGATTTTCCACTCATAATGAAACCGAAAGCAGATACAACAGCCGCGACTGCTGCTGCGAATAGCTATTCAACAGTTTTGGCGTAAATTAACGTAAAATACTCGAAAACAGTCGGGCCAAGACACCAGACATCTCGTACCAGCGGCCCCCGTCGAGAGTGCTGGCCGGGCTTTGTGGCTGGCCGAGCACACCTTCATTTACCTGCGAACAGTAGTCGCTGCCTCCATCCCCATCGCGATCCCCATCTCCGGCTACCGATCCCCGAAATCAGGCAAACACGATCATTATGAGGAATAAACAGCATCTAAGCGATTATGGCCTGGCAGCAGTAACGGAGCAATTAAATTTGTCGCCGACCTATCTTTCATCTAAAATATATCAAGAGGTGTTTCGAACACGTGCAGCTTAATAAAGATATAAGTAGCACTTTAAGCTGTACTCTGAATATAAACAGTAATCCTAACTTGGTGGGTCTTTAAATATTTCTTAAAGTCTTCAACAAGTACAAGTACTAGTAGTAGAAAGATACAAGTAAATCTTAAAGGGCCCACATTGATGGCTATATATTCCACAATTCTCATCCGATTCTCAAGCGAAGTACCTTAAACGATTTGTGAGTCGATTCTTCAACATTCTGCATCGAAATCCTGAGACAAAATATTTTTTAGATTTTTTGTCCATTTTTTGTGATGGGATCCCTAGAAAATGGGGTTTTCCCCTATAGGGCCCACTGCGATGTCTATATCTTCCCCAATTCTTATCCGATTCTCAAGCGGAGTACCTTAAAAGATTTCTAGATCGATTCTTCACCATTCTTCATCAAAATCCTGAGACAAAATATTTTTTTAGATTTTTTGTCCATTTTTTGTCCAAACCATTATTTTAATCTGTTTAATTAGTTTACTCAGGGATCTTAGTTAACTTTCTCTATTTAAAAAATATTTCATAATTTCCTTGCAACATCGGGCCGAAAATTGTTAAACTATTTCGACTATTTATGGACTCATTAAAAGTGTATTTGATTCCTCGTTACCGGCAACCAACCAAATCCACAAAACACAAAAGTAGGTATGTTGGCTGATTTTGTGCAATCTTGAAAACATATTTTTTGTCGAAAAGTTGGAGAGAAATAAGTGAATAATTATGGTGCGGAGCAAAAACAATTTTTTGGTTATTATTTTATGGCTTGAACCCCCCCAGCTCCACCGCAACCACCACCTCCACCCACTTGACGCCTTTCGGGCGAGTGAGTTGCGAGTACGCCTACTTTTTACATCATTTATTATGTGGGCAAGCCAATAATGAATGCGTTTTGTCTGCAGAAGCGGAGGATTAATCGAGGGGAGATGGAACTGGGGGCTGGGGTCTGGTTGCTGGAATATTGCATGTTTCCAGCTGGCACGCTTCGATGATTGCTCCTGCGTTTGTCGAATTACTCGGCTGCAACCGAGCCCTCTGTATGATTCAACAAATCTCTCTTTTGGTCCGAGTTTTAAGCTTAGACGGTGAGCGTGATGGCCATTTTATGCACTCTTTTTTAGCCGAGGAGTAACTAGAACTCGTCTTGGCCATACAGGGAAACCGGCAGAAATGTGCAGAAATTTTGATTTTGAAATGCAACCAGTTTCCCCACCAGTTGTCAGTTGCCAACTGTAGTTGCAGTGACTTTTTATGGCAACCTGCAGAATGAGGAATACGGTGACTGATTGACAGCCAAATGAGAGAGTAGGCCGCCAATCGGCTACCAAAGGTTGCGATCATGGACCAAGGACTAGATAGACTAGTTGGACAGAACCAGATTCCAAACTTTGGATTAGCTCAGCCATCAAACAATCACAACTACGATCCACCACGATCTCGAAACGATAACCCCGCACACAAATAGCGACTGCAAGCTAAAATTCTGAAGCAGAAAAAGCACCAAACAAAGCAAAACTAGAAGTGCAGCTATAGAGGCAGGCAGGTATATAAGCTATGGCTCGAACAAAGCCTCGCCTATGAACCTGGTGGCAACCGGTTTGGCTCCTCAGACAGACCAACCGACTGCCAGAGAGCTCGAGAGTGTAAGAAACACAACCCGAGAGGCCATAAACCAAACAAGTCACTAAGGGCACTGCGACTGCGAGCCGAGCCAGACTTTTCAGATACTCACACTTTTGGGGTAGATACACAATCAAGTTTCCAGCCAAAGAAATTCAGGAGCCAGAAGAAGGCTTTTTGGTCAATGACTGGTCGAAAGAACAGCAGAGAGCCAACTTGACTTGACCATCATTATCATCATTCATTTTTCATGGCTGAGTGCCTGGCAGGCAGTTAGCTCTGATTGTTTACAGCTGCCGTAGTACAAGTTAAGGCCAAAAACTGGTTTCCACACAGCTGTTTGCCGGACGCGGTGTCCAGAAACTCAATATGTGCCCAGCACAGGATGTAGACTCTGTAGGCTATGGATCCAAGGAGTCACTGCGGGTGCGGTTTGACCCAAAACGCTTCTCGAAGACACCGACAACTCGCCATGGAAATAATGGTGATGAAATTCTGTGAAGCCCAGAGCTCTGGTCTCCGGTCTCCGGTCTCTGGTCTTTGTTCTTCTCATTATTTTGCGGTTGGGGAGCCAGCTTTTGTTTTGCCGTTCAAGTGCATAAATATCTGGCTCCTCTCTTTTAAACGGTAAATGATATATTCCGAAGCTGTTGTCATGCCACAATCTCTGGGGCATTAATATAACAAGTCCGCGGAGATCCCCGGGAGAGTTGCAGGGAGATGGCTGGCCGAGGTTCTTGTGGGTGATGAAATGTGATGATTGCATTTGCGGTCTGGCTTTGGTTCTGGCTAAAAAAAGTCGGCTAACGGAACACCCGTTTTACCAAATTTATGCTTAAGGATAAGTGGTAAGAAGTGCAGGAAAAAGATACAGTCAGTTTCAAAGAGATAACTACAAGCTACTAAGGACTATGGTCTGTAGGGTTCTGTGAAGTCTGGTAACCTTTTTGGGGAGCTCTTTCTTAATTAAAAGTCTCTTAAAAGTGGGTCACTTGGAGAAGTTCTTTCTGTCTCTTCATTTCTGTCAATTATCATTAAACTCCCTTGAATTCTAATGACCTAAAAGTATTGATGTTTACAGCTTAGTCATGTTTTGGGAATTAAATTTAATTTCTTGAATTCAATCACTAAATATCCCACCAGCACTGGCAACCAATCATATCGGAGCTGCCCACCATCTAGTCTTCAAAATATGCAAGATTTGCTGCCATTTCCATATTCTTGGAGGCAAATTTTGTGGCAGAGACAGAGGTGGGGATCTCTCTCTTGGTTGCCAGTGGGCTGTGGGCCGATAACGCCTCGGCGAGTGTGCCAGCAGGTTGTGTAATCTTTTAAGCCAACACTGCACTTCGGTAATTTCAAAATATGGGAGAGAGGTGACTAACACTAGTACCGACTAGTATACTAATTGCTGAAACAAGACGGGCTCATGTTTCTTGATTGTCTCGAGGCTGAGGTCTCCAAGACTTTATGAGGAGTTTCTCCCAACTAATGAAGCCTTCCTCGCCCTGTCTAGACCGAGCCAATGCCAATCAGTGCCAGCATTAGAAATAAATAAATAATTAGGCAGTAATTACAGCATCGTATTGAACGGCGGGTAGAAAATGCAAATCATATAAAGCTAAAAAATGTAATTACTTAGAATCCGACGACAAAAGTGCAAGTGATAATTAAAGACATGATTGGGAGTTAATTGCAGGCCGTAGGTTTTGAAAACATTTAGCGATTTCACTTTTTTCTAACAAACCCATCCGATTGCCTTCCGATTTGGACTTGACCCACTTGTCTAGAGAGTGCGAGAATCGAGAATTGAGAATCGAAAACAAAAATATCCAAAGTGTAGTGTACTTGGGCGCAGAGTTGGCTCGCCAAGTGCGTTCCGCCCTCGTGCGTGTCTCGCTCACGACCAAGACCCAATTCGCGGCCCCCAAGACAAAAGGAAAACGAATTCGTTCTCATTGAGCCATCAGATTGGATGTCTCTGCGTGGTCTCGGTTACAAAGGCAGAAGCCAAGAGCTAAGAGATCTCTAGTGTTGGCCTCAAACCGTTGGCCAGGCTAGTTGGACTCTGCGCCCACATCGGCCACCTACGACAGCGATTTCGGCTTGGAAAGTCCATCGAAGGTCTCCTTTCCCTTGTCAAAAATACTAACTTGGCCCCTAGCTGGGGGAAATTCCTAGAAGACATGCACTTAACATTGGGGATTTAGACACTTGTCTAGAGGTGTTAAATAATAATTGGTTTCTTAATTAAACGAGTGCGTGGATGGTGTCGCCTCGAAATCAATCCCCATTGGAGGTGTCGAGCCTCCCACCGAAATAGAAGCGGAAGGTTATCTGTGTGAGTGGGCGGGGAATCATGGCGAATCATTTAACAAAAATGGGTCATCTGCTGAGAATTGGCAGCTTACCCTTGAAGCTCGTTAGTGGAAAGTACACTCTAGTTGACTCACCGAAACTGCAAATAGAAGGGAAAAAAATTTTAGATTATTATTGTGATTTGTTGTGATTTATTGTGTTTGAGTGGCAAAGGAAATGCCTTATTTAGAGGCAGTACACTAATGGCAGTGTGTGAGTTATAATAGCTCTGATATCTAACTATATTTTATGCAAATACTTCGATAGTTTCTAGTTTTTAAGAGAATTTCTTTCTACTCTACTTCTCCCAATTAACAGAAAGTTTCTTTGTTTTTATTTTATCATCAAACAAACAAACTAAGAGATAAGAAATCAATACACTGATTAGTACTGACCCTGATAAGGATTTTCAGAGAAAGAGAGGGCTATACGGAAGTAACACTTCCTACTCGAGTAGCCATAATCAGTAACTTGGGCTAGATCAAGAAACCCTATAAATACAAAGTCACTAAAGCACCCGCCGATCACGACATCGAGTCTATTCCATTATAGAGTCTATTTTGCTAGAAATTCTCCTCCATTTGTGACGCACTTGGCTCCCAAAAGCTCAATGCTAAAATTAACAATGAAAATCAGCCTCAACTCGAGAGCATCCATTACTAGTTCGCACGAGTCTCTTCTCCCTTCGAGTTGAATAATCAGCTGGTCGGCGAAACACCTGCTTTGTTACCTCGCTGGGGGTTTCTCGTTTGAATTCCACCGGATCTCACACTTCATTGGAATCATAATATTCGTCACCGAAATTAAACGGAAGCTCATAAATATAATACTGTGCCTTTAGCTTTCTCAATTGTGAATTTCGTCTGATAACCGGCTTGATTTCTCATCCATGACGTAGAATCTGATCCGACATTGTTGGCAATCTCTTGTCAGAGGGTTCTTGACAACAAAATGGCTTGATAACACTATCAAGTACATATTTTTTGCAAAGATATGGACAGTTCGGTAGTTTATCAAAAAATAGCCATCTATAAAGTGCTATTGGAGTGGAGGGAACTTTGGTCTCACTTTTGGAGGGTGTATCTTAGTCTCACTTTTCAAAAAAATGCACTTGAATTTGTACTAACTAGCTAAGACTTAAGTTAGAAGCTCTACTTGAAAGGGTCTATCACCAAAAGGGTAGGTCTTTTTTAAAACCCAGAAAGGTCTGTTTATTATTTTTGGATTTCAGAAAACTCTCCTCCCACATGTGGTCTGATTCTGGTCGCTCCTTAAGCATCCACTCAGCACTTTCGGGTTGATAGTTTTGGTTTTTCTTTATTGCCACATTTCATGCAAATTGGTTTGGCCCCTCGGGGGTTGGCTGGGGTCACCTAACGGCTCTTTCATGGCTCTTGGACCCCGAAAACTTACTCGACTTCTCTCGAGCCGAGGCCGCTGCTACAAACTTTTGCGTACTTCATATAAAATTGCGCAAAGCCGAATGAGTAAACAATGAGGGGAAACTACAAAATAAATACTTATAGTAATGGCATTTGGGGGGGGACGGACCGTTAGGTCCGTATATGGGCTACACTGTATGACACTTCACCCCGGCATATGGATCTTCATATGCAAATACGGGAGGTAGATCCCAAATCACACCTGAGGGCCTGGCATAATTGTGTCACTGTGAGTGAGTTTCATTAGAATTTCCGAGCAGGCTTTTATCAGGAAGGAGCTAACAAGAAGAAAGAGAATTCTGGCCTGAATTTGCATAAGCTGATGAGTTTTGTACAGGCCAGACTCGCTACTGAGTAAATATTTATGAAACAAAGGTTGAGTTTGGCTTGAAAGCAGTTCCAAGCTATCCAGATCCAATACTCTTCTCTTAAATGCCACTTTTTTTTTTAATATTTCTTAAATTCAACACCCAAAGTAAACTTTCGAATTCCCAAATGGACAGATAACCCTCTGAGGGGCTGCGGGCGAAAAAACAGAACACCACTTTGAGTGAAACTGAAAGCAAAACACAAACCCGACACAGAAAACGTGTTGCAAATTGTATGCAGGTCGCCAACAACATGATTAACAAAAAACCGAAAAGATTAATAACAATGGTTAGGAGATCTAGGGGGATCTGGGAGACAACCACGCGTTGATTAGCCGGCCCTGGGGCGGCCACGGTTGAGAAAAGTATCTGACAGATACGGGAGAGCTTGGCGAGAAATTTCACTGCAACATTGGAGGGCAATCTCCATTTAGACTGGCCGATCATTATCGGACCTGGTTTTGGTCTTTATTTTCAAGCTTTTTGGCTTGTTTTCTTTATTCTTGAAATATGTGTTTGACTTTGAAAAGCAAAAGAACAAAAAAAGCTTAAAACTAAATCCATTTAGCCAATCCCCCACTCAAGAGCATGCTTACAAGGTTGAAAGCATTCGCTTTTTGTGGCAATTTCCATATCGCTTCAATGGCCAGTAGTCTTTCCTCAAAACAATCAATTACGAAAATTTCCTCACTTTATGAGTTAAATATTCTACATTTTATTAAGTGCTCATAACCTTAAACGCTTATCGCTCGTCTCATTCATTCAAATTTAATCTCCAGCGCCGGCTGCTACCTTAATAAATTGTTTATAAACACACGAGCCCGTTCCAGGGCGAGATTAGAATTGGGGAGAGTCGTCCACCACATGTTTGTTCAAAAGGTGTGATATAATATTTATACACATTGTACAATATAATATATTCCAGTGATAATTAATTAAAAAAAAGTCATTGTACTCATTGCCGCTTACTTATATTTAATTGATACTGCGGGATGTAAATAATCGGAATCAGCTGAGATGAGTGATTAAGATTTAAGATTATTATGAGAATTACAATCGAAATACTTTAATCACCTTACCGGTTAGGTTTACATACAGGTATCAGGAGGTTTTCTTTCGAAATAAACACCTGGTGATATAGATTTTGTTGGAACTCCTAAAGTATACATTGAAATATTAAACCTTTCAACGTCGAGCAAATATTCTGAATCTTTGTGTGTGGTATTTCTTGGGTATTTACAGGGTAGGGCATATGTACATACATATGAGGATCCAAAGGACATTTAACCCTTTAAAGGTCTCAATATTTGTTCTTTTATTTCAATCTTTCATTGATTTTCAACCATTTTCCAAAAGAATAGCACCATCAAGACGTCGAACTACCTTATCCATGAAGTTTTGTCTATTTTAACTTACGTTTTATAATATCTAGATAGGTCTATTTCAGTAATACTCCCTATTATCATACTAAAATTGGTATCTTTTGGTTATATCTTAGGTTATCTTTAATTATCAACTTCATAGATGTCTTTTATCTACTTCTAATATCATGATGGCTTGCATCTGCGAGATATCCTTTCATTTTTCGTCCTTTTCCTTTTCCCTTTCCCTGTGTACTTCTATCCTTAACCCTTAATCAGATTTCTGGCGATTCGCTCAAATACCGCTCAAACTTGCACATATTGCGAAGGACATAATTGCGAAAGTCTGCACGCACACACTCACACCTCACACACACACACACAACTCGCATCCTTGCAGGAGGCTGCACAACTCTCTCAGTCGCTCTGCTCTCACACTCTCTCTTCACCCAATAACAACAAGAACTTCGCTTCGGGAGTTTGTACAGCATCTCTCGGCGGTATTGTTGCTTTCGCACATAGACTCCTGGAGGGGGGTAGCAGGAGCCGTGGCAGGAGGAGGAAAACTCCATGAATGTGTATACCTTTATGGGGGACCAAAATTCTATTTGTTTCGTACCTCTTCTCGACTTGATTGATATTCTCCACTTGATTCTCAACTAAAATTGCACTTTGCTGTTGAACTGTTAAACACTTTTAGTATCTGCCGGAGATACTAATTATTGCGACTAAGATTTAAGAATAAAACTTTCAATTGAATTTGATTTGGCGTGGAGTGTGGAGCCACGTTCCAGCTGCTATCCATTCAAAAAATTTCTTTCGCGTCGTCGCCGCTGTGCGTTTGGTTTACCGTTGACGTTGGATTTCACTTTCGAACCGCGTGGATATTCGACTACGACTCGCCAAGCCGACTTCCGAACCGATTTCTGGACGAGCGCCTGAAGAGTATCAACAATGCGCCCACTATTTCCGTGTCGACCTGGACAGCTTTTCCAATCATCCGCCTCCAACCGCACGGCCCGAGAAAAATTTTACGAATAAGAGAGGTAAATAGACTGCGAAACCAAATTGACGAAATGAACAAAACAATCGACGCGTTCCACGTTCCAGGTTCCACCTTCCACACCGTAAAATCCACACACTCTTTGAGAGTCAGCGAGAGCGAGAGAGAGAGAGGACGCGTGAGAGTGAATGAAACTGAAACCAGAAAGCAAAAGCAAACAAAAAACAAAGTAAATACAAATGCAAGCCCAAAAGCAGTAGAAATAACAACTTCAGCGCGACAGTGATGCGCACTATTGGGAGATTTTGGAGAATAATATTAGCTATTGGATCCATTAGACAGAAAAAAAACTAACTTAGAAGTACCACCTTTATTTAAAAAAAAATCCAATAAAAATACCCTTTTTATGCAGGAGTTCCACCCTTGCATCAGTCGCTTTTGAAAAACCACAAACAAACATTTCAAGCCCCCATTAAATATGAATTACCATTATACAGATCGATCATGTTGCATGCCGCAATCTCAAAGAAACCACCCTCATGGGTGTGCGTAATGACAGCTCATTACTGGGGTTGTCAGGGGCGTGCGGAGGGGGGAAACACTTCAAAAACGAAACCCGCATATGACCGATGGCCATTGAAATTGCATTATTATGAGTCTGATTGGCCTTACCCCTAGGACACCCACCGCTCGCATTCCACCCCCTGGCTTATCACAAATTGGTATTTTCCACGGCTGCGATCGGGGGTCTTGAAACTGGAGTAGTTCCTCCTGACTTTGCATCAACAGCAAACACATTTTGCTTTTGCTTTTGCTTTTGAAAACAAAAACAAGCTCTCTTCCAGCTCTCTTGACTCTCCCATGCCCTTAACAGCGCTGCGGGTGGTTAGCAGCTGTTAGCACACCGATAACATAACATTAAAATACCATAATATTAATTTAATTAATGACCGAAATGGGAACAAAGCCGGAATTTCTTCGTTTTGACATTTTGAAATCTCCGCTGATAAGCGACGAAAACACAAAGGCCCGTGATCTCGCAATCTTCTGCGGCACATTGCTGGCCTTATCAACCCACAAACCCCTGAAAAAAGAAGCATAACCATCAGCGCCAATCACAACAACCATGTGTTTATTCGAATTACAAAATGCGACCAGCTGGGCCTGGAAATCAAAGCAGAAGACACAGCAAAGAAATCAAAACAAGCCACAACTTTACAAGAAAGATCGGCAGGGGAATTATTGGGGATGTGCCGGGAATATTTATCAAACGAAATCAATGATAAAACCCGATGAGACATATGGTCGTGGGACCTCAGAAAGATGTCGCCATGATGGATTGACACGCCCACAAGAGGCATATTTCGGACAAGAAGTCTGACAGAAAGGAGAGTATTTAGTATATTTAGTATTTTTTTGCAATTTAAAAAAAAAAATGGAGACCCAACTATATCCCATCTACTGACACATTTCCCACGTATGAACATATTTCATTTTATTTTCGCATTATCCGATTGTGCCCCATTTTATGAGACCCCTTCGAATTGCATTCTCCCAAGAACTCTCCCACAATTCATATAAGTCAAAGGCTCAAATCTTCACACATCAACAGATCCACCCAAGCCAACAACGCATCTTGAATGATAAGTCAAAACGGCACAAAAAATATTAAAGCCTGGCAACTTCTTCCATTAGGGAGACACGGGGCCCCGAAGCCATTTTGAACGTTTTGGACATATCTCTTGCCTACAACATTTACGACAGGAAGAAATCCATCAACACGATTCTTGTGGCCTAGGCCTGCCCTCGGGCCTCGGGCCCAAGAGACTTTCCACCAGAAAAAGCCAAGCCGAGAGATGGGGAAAACATGAAATAAAAGTTGCATTCAACACTCGCTTTCTTTGCGAGTCATGTTGTAATGGTCGCCCAAGGGCCCGCAGCCGACTGACCGACCCTACAGCATTAGCTGGTTGTTTCACTGAAAATATTACTTATAGGGCTTTAATATATAAAGGAGTCTTTAGATTAGATTTCTCCAAGTGTACTTGCGCCTCACCCTAAAAAAAATAAGAAAGACCATTTTACACTGTCACGGGAAATTGTTTGCTTAACATGCGCGGTGCGTTTAAAATTACACGATGAGCAGCATTTATCAAAAAATCATCCAGAAATCAAAGCGAGTGGGGATAGGGATCAAGACCGGTGCCGGGATAGGGAGAGGTTGATGCAACTTCTTTGTCTGCCAGATCCTACGCAACTTTCTGTCTCTACATTATTTTTTCTTGATTACAAGTATATTTAGCCGCCTGTCTGCCGAGGTCGTCGCCGGGGTCTTGATTCAATCTTCGAACAAGCGCCGAGACAACCAACTTCGCCCCTAACCCCTTGCATCAGAAGCTCCCCTTGGCGACCGTGCCACTGGGCGGGCAATCATTGGCGTTGGTCTTGTCTGGCGACCTATGCTGATTTCCGAGAAAGAAATTATGATATTTTTCTTGTGGTCACTCGATGATGAGTTGCCGTTGTCTCATCGCTTCTGTGCAAGAAGAACTTTTGGCTTCTGTTCCACGGATGCTACCTCCCACTCTCGATGAATTTATGGTGGTTGGGGGGATGACTTCCTAATTGGACAGATTGGGAGTAAAATTATAATTGGACCTGGCAGAGCTGCACTTCCAAATTTAAGATTGAAGGTCCAAGGTTAGGGGGGAGTAATCATTTATTAAACTTAAAAAACATGAATTTTTCCAATTAAAACTAGTTTATTATTTCATCAAAGTTTAATTATAAAACCTAACTGATTAACATATGTATGTTCTTCCTACTTAATCACCCCATGACAAGTCTTAATGCTTTCATTACGAGCTGAAAATGAGGAAAATTTTCGCCAAAAAGAGCCTGTCTTGCGGCTGTGTGCCACTTCCTTGGCTCCGGCTCCATAAATATCCAAGACGTTGCGGCACGTAAATCTTCATTTAGTCCCGTCTGTTCCAAACTTTCCCTGGCCCCAGCCCTTTGCCGACTCCCTCAAGCCTCACAGGGCGTAACCCTACGCGGATAGTTGCTTAAGCCGCCTCAGACTGCAAATGTTGACAATTAATCACAATGAGTATGGGTACGGGATGTGTGCTTATACAGTGCGCTTCAAAGAGATAATATGGCTTTCATTGTCTTTTAAATATAAGTTTATCACTTTGATTTAGTAGCTGATTCTAATGGGTTTAATTATATTAGTCATTTTTTAAATAAATATCAATTCCCTTGTGTAGAAAGTCTTTTCCCAAGTGTGACTCATATGCAAGTCGGGTTTGTTTCGCCTCCCATGACCAGTCCAGTCCATAATTACAAGTCTGGAGTGACTGGCCCCTTGACACTCCGTTCCTCTGTTTGTGACACACCCATGCTCCATCCGCACTTGAAGACTTGAACTTAATCGCCTCCGAGCCTCGAGATAAGACTACCGGCCCCCTATCTCTTCTACCCCCTCCGTCCGGGTCTCATTATGGAGTAACGGTTAATGCACGCATAAATTAATTATTTCACAGGCAATCAACGAATCGAATCCGAAACCGAGTCCCAACCAGAATTTTAATGGCCAGGTCCCGAAGCCCCAGCACTAGAAACAGAAATAGAAAGAGTGGCATGGCTCGGAAATCTGCTGGAAATGTAAACAAACAGATCAAATTGTTGGCGATAAGATTCTCCAGTCTTCAGTCTCCAGTCTTCTAGAATCGTAGTTCTACTTATTTGCCCCAACTGGTGGGCCAGTACCCACAACCGGTTCTCTGGTCAAAGTCCATACATGGGAAATTGTGTAAAATAAATCAAAGGGGAAAATGCATTTTTGGATGAATTATGTGAAACATCTCTAGGGTAATGAGAGTGGCCCGTGGTTCAAGTTCGGTGGGAAATCATACAAGTGGCAAGTAAAGAATTTCCAAGCGTTATTACCCTATCTGATTAATCGGTAGTCGAGACGTGCCCTCTTCAAAATGGCAATCAAAAAGTTCCAACTTTGACTGCCCCGCAGCCTGTCAAGCTGCCATCAGGGCAGTAATTCGATATGACGCTTGCCACACACCACCAGTGGATGGATGTGGCAGGGATGTGGTATCTTGGCACTGGAGTCCCTCACAAGAAGATGGGTGCATCTAGTCTAGTCAGCTCTGATATGATTTTTACGATTCGTTGCAATCGCAAATTGAGCAAAATGGCAAATGCGTCGGTTTTATGGGCCAAACTGAGTGGGAAGATGTGTTGTAAAGTAATAGGGCGCAGCTTTATGAGATGTAATAGGATAAATAAAACTTTGCATTTTTAAAAATGAAAAAAAAAAACTATGATAATCTTCAACAAACCATAGTGAATATTGCGAGTATCTTAATAATTTAATCAATGACTATATTATGTACCAGATGATCACCGAAAGACCTTCCAATGGTTCCTGATCTTGAGTTATTTCGAAAATAAATACACACATGCCTCTGCGCAAAAATAGGCCCCTCCACTTGACCTACTCTCTGTGCAATTGGCGTAATTAAAACCTTCAAATAGAGGTCTCAGTGCTGCCAAAGTTTACAGTCCAGAAGGCACGAACAACAAATGCTAGCTAGCTACCGACCCAGACATAGACCTTACACAATCTTACGAACCGGGGAGATCAACCAAGCGATCCCCAGCTTCGACCCACATACCAAATATACGAAAATGGGAAAATTACTAAATTTTCTTGGTGTACGAGCCACATAATCGCAAATTAAGTGAAATTTTTCAGTTTACTCATGATTATTTGCGTCATCTGAGGTGGCTTTCTGCAAACCCTAATGACCCATTAGGCCCAAGGGTTAAAGCTGGCGAAGTGCTGAACTCTACTACAATGCAATCTTAAATATTTTCCGTATAAACAAAAGAAAAGCAGATTGCGTCATAAGATATTCCCACTTTTAGACTGCATTCCCCGGAACAGCGTGAAATTTGGCCAAGAAGCCTCTGCTCCCACGGTTCGTTCACTCAACAACTTGGAAACTATAAAATGCACGCGTTGC